CGCGGAAGTCACGCAAGTCGAGCGGCACTTGCACGCTCGTGTTCAATTGAAGAGGGGCGAGGGGAGGGGGGGGGGGGGGAACTCCATGCAAGTATGAAACTGGCCTGAATATATACTCCAGCCGAAACCGCCCGACCTCTTGTCTCCAGGCGTCACAGCGCCCCCCCCCCCCCTGCCCCCCCCCCCCCCTGCTCCGCTCGGTCGCGGCCTCTGGCGTGGTCCCGCCAAGCTCGGTGGGTGCGCCGCCATGGACCCCATCGGGCGTGCACTGGCTGGGCCCCGTCGCCCAGACGCTCGTGCGATCGGCCCCGCCGGGGTGGCCAGTCCGTCCACATCTCGACGAGATTCCAGCGCGTTCGGCAAAAGTAGGACAGAAAACTAGCCAAGGAGGCCGAGATCGATAGATGTCGGCCTCCTGGTCCCGTCGTTGGGGGCCCAGGGGCCGTGAAGATCGACCCTGGGACGCAGAACTGCCACTGGGGACGTGGTCGGGAGCTGGGGGGCCGCGGGCGGAGCAGAGATCACGTCGCCAGATGTGCGAGCTCTGGCTTCCCGACTCGGCATGCGGAGCAGGGACTTCTACACAGCCGCCGCCTGGGAACACCGACCTCCCCGGGCCCCCGTTGAGGGGCTCCCCAGTGGGGGCCCAAAGATGGCAGGATCCGTGCCGCCTCCTCGGGCCCCAGGATCAGTTCCCCAAGCGGTGCAGACACGTGCAAGCCCTGGCAGCGGACAGCACAATGGAAGCTGGTCCTAGAGGGAAGGCCCTGAGACCCCGGCGTCGCAATGCTGTTCGCTCCAGGCGTCGTCGCCCAGATTCGGGCCCCTGGGCCCTCGCAGAGCGATCTGGCTCGAGAAGTGCCGCAGGAGTGTAGGGTCGAGGGCGCTGGTCCCGACTTCCCCCGCGATGCTTCAATGTTTTGCGTCGACTTGACGCCGCGCGCATTCGTGTCTAAAAGGTTGCAGCTCAAGGGATGGAGGGTGGGGTCAGTGCAAGCTTAAAGCAGTTCCACGGGTGCAAGACGGGTGGCTTTCGAGACGGGGATGCCGTCGCCGTATGAGTGGGCTTGGGGAGGGAACTTCTCGGGACGGGACTTGGGACGGGAGGGAACTTGGGACGGGATGTCGCGTGCTTCAGGATTACATAGGGGGCTTGTCTGTGGCCCTCCGCCTCGTCCCCCATCAGGGCCCCAGTTGCCCAGTGGGGGGGGGAGGACGAGATCTAGGCAGGCGGGCGGCGTAACCGGCGTCCTTGAGCAGCGGCATGAGCTCCGAGACGTAGGGGTGCAGGAAGTCGGGGTCCTCTGCGGGAGGCTACCGCGGAGGGAGGGAGGGAGGGCTAAGAGGGCTGAGCGAGGTGCGCCAGCGTGCCATCCGACGTCCCACCACTCCCTCCCGTCCCTTGCCATGGCGGGGAGGGAAGGAGGGAGGGCTAAGAGGGCTGAGCGAGGTGCGCCAGCGTGTCCTCCGACGTCCTGCCCCTCCCTCCCGTCCCCTTTGCCATGGCGCAGATCTCCTCTCTATATATATCCCCACAGTCGGAGGCCGAGCACGGCGAAGCGGCGACACTGGGAGCACGGTTCGGGGCGAGCGGAAGCGCGGAAGGGAGGCCAGCGCGGCAGCGGCAGCACGGCTCGGAACGAGCGGACGCGCGGAAGGGAGGCCAGCGCTGCAACGGGAGCACGATCCCGATCGAGCGGAAGCGCGAAAATGAAGCCAGCGGGACATCGGGAGCACGTCTCGCCAACATGCAATGGCATGGCACTGGAAATGAGGCCAGCGCGGCAGCGGGAGCACAATTGGGAACGAGCATAAGCGCGGAAATGAGGCCAGCGCGGCAGCGGGAGCACGATTCAGAACGAGAATAAGCGCGGAAAGGAAGCCAGCGCGGCAGCGGGAGCACGATCCGGATGGAGCAAAAGCCCCGAAATAAGGCCAGCGCTGCAGCGGAAGCAACATTTTAGAGGTATCGAAAACGTCCAGATTGGACAAACACGTACAACAATCAAACTCGCAGGCATCCGATGTGCAAAAATAGCAATACGCCGAAGGGGGCGCGCTCCCTCATAGCGGTCTTCGGGAGGGAGAGGACAGTAGTTTCATATTGGGTAGCTGACGAGAGAGGGAAAAGAGGGGAGGGAGAGAGATGGAGAGGGAGACAGACCTCTCCCCTCCTCTACTGTCGTCCCCCTCCTCTTCCTCCTATTTCTCCTTCTCCTCCTCCGCCGTTTGCTTCCTCCTCCTCCTGCTCCTCCTCCTGCTCCTCCTTATCCTTCACCTCGTCCTCCTCCTCCTCCTACCTCGCCCTCCTCCACGTCCTCCTCCCCCTGCTGCTCCTCCTCCTCTTCCTCCTCCACCTCCTCCTCCTCCTCGTCCTCCTCCTCCTCCTCCTCCCCATTCCTCCCCCTCCCCCTTCTCCTTCTGCTCCTCCGCCTCCTCCTCCTCCTCCTCCTCCTCATCATCATCATCATCATCAGCATCATCATCGTCATCATCATCGTCATCATCATCATCCTTCTGCTCATCCGCCTCCTCCTCCTTACCATCATCAACATCATCATCATCATCATCATCATCATCATCATCATCATCATCATCATCATCATAATCATCATCATCATCATGATCATCATCATCATCATCAGCAGCATCATCATCATCCTTGTCATCACCAGCATCAGCATCAGCATCATCTCCGTTATCAACATCAGCAGCATCATTTTCACCATCACCATCACTATCACCATCATCATCACCACCATCATCATTATCACCAGCAGCAGCAACATCATCATGATCAGGATGATCATCATGATCGTCATCACCGCCATCATCATCAGCAACGCTACACACCTCATCATACATGACCAACGTATGGCTCACATCAACGACATCCATCATCATTAGCATGTTTACCATCCGCATCATAATCATCATCATCGTCGTCATCATCGTCACCATCGCGGCGTCGTCATCGTCATCGTCATCAGCACCACCATCATCATTGTCATCACCAGCATCATAACCATCATATTCATCAACAACAGCATCGTCATCACCAGCATCAACAGCATCCGCATCAACATCATGATCATTGTCACCATCACCATGATCAGCAATAACAACATCCGCATCAGCATCAGCATCTGCATCAGAATCCTCTGTCATCATCAGCATCATCATCATCATCATCATCATCATCATCATCATCGTCATCGTCACCGGCATCACCATCATCATGCTCAGCATCAACATCATCATCACCACCATCAGCATCACTAGCAGCGGTGGCAGCATCAGCATCACCATACTCATAACAAGTATCATCATAACCACCATCATCATCATCGTTACCGTCCACAAGTTCATCCCGAGTATCATCGTCGTCTGAATTATCACCATCATTCGGACCATCGTGATCGCCAGGTCATCATCGCCATTGTCATTGTATACCATCCCCCTCAGCATCAACGATCGGATTCGTCCATCGTCATCCTTCTAATCCTCTACCCCCTGCTAGCCTGCCCCACCTGACCCACATGTTGTCCATTTCACTCTGCTTGGTAATCCAAATCATCCTCCCTCATCATCACGCTTGCCCTCCTCCTTCTCATTCACCCGTCCAACTTCTCCTGCTCATCGTCACTCATCCTGATGCTGCTTGTTTTCCTCATCCCCGTCCCTCCCTCACCCTCATCATACCCCTCTTGCTCATCCCTGGCATCCTCCACATCCTACTCCGCTCCTCCTCCTCCTGCTGCACCTTCCCGTCCTGAGCCCTTCTCCTGCCACTCCGCCCGATCCTCCTCCGCAGCCTCACCCGCTCATCCTCGTCGGCCTCCTCCACTGGATCCTGGACGCAGGCAGGAGGCCCGCTGCACAGCGAGGACCCTGACGTGAAGTGCAGGGAGGCGCAGGGCGCGCGGGTCCTCGATCAGGTCCACGGAGGCGCCCATGATCTTGCACCCCATGGTCTTGGCCTCCCCTCGTCCCCACTCGCACGCAAGGCTCGTGTCGTGACGGCTTCGGCGCCCGTCTCACGCATCGCGTGGGTCGCTCAGCCTCGAACCATCGGCGGCGTCGCGATCGCCAGAGATCACTCCAGCTCGGCCGAGCCTGGGCCATCAACGGAGAGTGCCACCTGGAACGCCCCGCGCGGGGGCCGCCGCCGCGTGAACGCGGCACGAGCCTCCAGCGTGCTCCCCCGCGCTCGTCCTCCGCGTGCTCCTCCCCCGGCTCCCCCGCACACGACCCAGATCTCCGACGCCATGATCTTTTCACTACGTCGACCCCCCGAGGTCTCGACCTCTTCCCCGGGACCGCTTTTCATCCCGAATCGGTTGACGGCCCCGAAACCCGGTAAGGGTCCCCAAAGGCCGAAGATGGCGAAAAAACCTCCCGTCATGATCTTTTTCTTTACGTCGACCCCTCGAGGTCTCGACCTCTTCCCTGGGACCGGTGGTTCATCCCGAATCGTCTTTGTTGACGGTCCCGAGGCCTGGTAAGGGTCCCCAGGGGCCGAAAATGGTTAAAAACCTCCCGTCAAGATTTTGTCATTACTCGAGGGGGTCCTGGGGAGAAAGAGCGCCCGGGCCCCCGACGCCTCGTGCGTCCGCTCGCGCATGGCCCTGGAGACGATGGGGAACAGCAGGCTGGCAGGAGGTGTTATTTTTCCGGGGCGCGCGGGGCAGCCGCAGCACGATCGCAGAGGGACGGGCGGGCGACGGGAGCGACACGGGCGCAGGTGCCGAGGAGGCTGGGAAGAATGGAGCACGGAGGTCCTACAGCCAACCCGTGCAGGAAGGAGATGCGCGATGAAGATGCAAGGGCCCTGGAAGCCCCTCTCGAAGCTGGTCGAGCGGGGCGCAGCCAACGAGAGCGGCCAGGGAGGCACCGAGGAGGCAAGGGTGCAAGGATATTCTTGTGAAGATTGCCCATCCTTACTATGCGGGTTGACTGTACGAGAGCCGAGATGGCCAGGGCTGCAGGAGCTGGCAGCGGCGCAGCAGCGGATCCCCGAGACGGCCGGGGTGGAGGCCGCCAGGGCCGGAAGCGCTGGAGCGGCACCGGCCCGAGGCTGGAGAGTGGATTGGGGGGGGGCCAAGCATCCTTTTGCACCTTCCCCGCAGAGAGAGAGAGGGAGAGAGGGAGAGAGGGAGGGAGGGAGGGAGGGAGGGAGGGGTCAGCAGGGCAGGAGCGAGAGAGGGATATATATATATATATATATATACAAGACTGCATTGGCGCTTCGCGCCATGCGCCTTGTTCCAGACGCTTCCCTGGCAAAACAATCAATCATCGCTTGTGGTAGCATAGGGACTTGAGGGTCTGCACGGGCGACCGGCGCCTGCTGACACCGCCCTCGTCCGATGCACTTGCAAGCTTGTGCGCAGGCATGCTTTCCTATTCATCGTCGTTCCATGTCTTAGCTCCCCCCGTTGACCTCCTCCTGTTTGTTCCGCCCGTCATGGGGAAGGTATGGAGAGGAGTTGCGTTTGGTTGTTAATTAGCCAATTCGAAGGGGTCTCCCTACCCATTCTGTCCTCCTTACCTCCTCTTCCGCCTCCTCCGGGTGTTGAGCTCATCCGTTGAGGAAGTAAGGAGTCTTCCCATGACACGCCGAAGAACTCGCAATAGGTCGGAACGAATCGATTTGTGGTCGCTCCCTGATGTTCAGGAAATCTTGGATCGTGGAAATTCGAATCTGTATCCCTTGCCTGTCTCTCTCGATCTAGGAATGGGGACCGCGAGCCTAAAGCGTGGAACGAAGAGCGTCGGGTGAGCTCGATGCACTTCGCAGGAGAACCGCGTTTAGGTGTTTTGGTTTTTTTTTGGGCCGTCCTGGGGCCTTCCTGGGCCGTCTTGGGGCCTTTTTGGGCCGTTGTGGGTAGCTGGGTCCCTCCCGAAGTCTTCGGAAGCCATTCTGGGCCTCTTGGGGGCCTCCGAAGGCCTTCCTGGGATCTCCCGTGGGTTTCTTGGGTCTCTCTTGGGAGCTTTTTTGGCGCGTCTGGGTCTTTTGTGGGCAGTCCGAGGCTCTCTGGGGCAGTCTTGGGGCCCTCGTGGGCCGTCGTGAAGCCATGTGGGGCGCCTCTTGAGCCGTCTTGGGGCGATATCGGTGGCCCATCGGGCCGGAATTGGACGCTGCAAAGGCCAACAAAGCGGGTATGCAACAAATGTTTATTTTGTCCCGAAGGAATGGGGCGATTTTTTCTGATTTGGGGTTCTCTGAACAGCCTTTTGGGCGTGTTGGGGGCCTCTTGAAGCGCTCGTGTGCTGTCTTGGGTCTATTTTGCGCCTCTCTGATTACCCTTCTAATCGCCTTGAGTCTGCTCGCAAGGCCTGTCAATGCGCCCTGGGAGGCCCGGAAAGGCCAGCCAACCTTTTCCAAGGGCGTCCAGGGGGCCCCCGAACAGTCCGAAAGGGCGTCCCGGCCGTCCCTTGGAGGAGGATCCGGTTTAGGGGGGGGTCCGGGGGGGGGGGGGGTCCCGGGTAATAAAAATATAAGAATAAGAATATAGAGAGAGAGGGCGCGGAGAGGTGAGCTGGGCAGGGGTCAGCAGGGCAGGAGCAGAGGGCGGGAGCCTCCCCTGCGGGCAGCGAGAGCAGTGGGGAGGCGAGAGCAGTGTGGCAGCGATGGGCCAGAGGCTACACCTCCTCCTCCTCCTCCTCCTCCTCCTCCTCCTCCTCCTCCTCCTCCTCCTCCTCCCCTCCTCCTCCTCCTCCTCCTCCTCCTCCTCCTCCTCCTCCTCCTCCTCCACGCAATCGCTAATAGTCCTCTCCTCCTCCTCCTCCTCCTCCTCCTCCCTCCTCCTCCTCCTCCTCCTCCTCCTCCTCTCCCTCCTCCTCCTCCTCCTCCTCCTCCTCATCCTCCTCGCCCATGCTCGCCCCTCCTCGCCCCTCCTCCTCCACCTCCTCCTCCTCTCCTCCTCCTCCTCCTCCTCCTCCTCCTCCTCCTCCTCCTCCTCCTCCTCCACCTCATTCCCAATGGGGCAGCCGAGGTGCGGTGCGGGTGCGGAGCAGCGCCAGGGTCGGCTCGGCACACGGCAGGGCGGGCGCAGCACGGGACGACCGGCTGCAGCGGACAGCGGGCAGCGGGAGCAGGGCCGGCGGGATGGGGGAGGAGGGCGAGGAAGGGGGGGGCAGGGGTCAGAGAGGCGCCAGGGAGGAGGAGGAGGAGGAGGAGGAGGAGGAGGAGGAAGAGGAGGAGGAGGAGGAGGAGGAGGAGCGAACGTAACCTTGAAGGAAGGTTCGTCCGCGCTTAGCCGAGCCGCGGCCGCGGCGCGCCCGCACCTCCGCTCAGGTCAGACGGGAGCTGGAGGGCGCGGCGGGCGGCGGCGAAGGCCGTGTACTGGTTGTGGTAGGAGATCGGGAGGGGGTGGTCCTTGGTGAGGTGGTACGCCCGCGTCGCGACGGCGAGGCGCGTGGCGGAGTTCGGGATGCCGTTCTCGCCGTCGAACGGGTGCGACAGCTCGGGGAGCGCCATGCGCGCGAGGAGGTCGGCGCTCAGCTGGCCGCGGGGCAGGCTCAGCTGGTGCCACATGCGTTCGCACGTCATGTAGTGTTGGATGTTGTCCTTGGCGAGCGGGTGATTGCACCCGAAGTGGCAAGGGCGCTTGTCCTGGATGACATGCATGCGGTAGCTGGTGGTCCATGCGCCCACGAGGGCCTTCACTGTGGCCCACATCCGCGCAGGCGGTTGCGTAGCCAGGTAGGTGCGCAGGCGTTTCCAACGAGCAGGAAGGTCGGCGGGTACCCAATGGAGACGAAGAAGATCAGGCGGCTCGCCTTCGTCATCTGGAGGGACTTCTTCGCCGTCGGGGAAGTCGGCGTCACTGATGTCGGAGTCGGGCAGCTGGTACGGGAGAAAGTTGGCGACCCAGCGGCGGCGGGCACGATGTTGGGCGGCTTCATGCTGAAGTAGCGGAGTCAGGCTGCTCGGTTCATCTGAGCGGGTCCGAGTTCTTGAGAGACGGTGTTCGAGGAGGATTCTGCCAGTGCCGCTGTTGTCCCATGCCTGCTGACACATGTCGGCGGCGATCTGTCGTCGGCGAGCGGAGGCGGCATAAAGCGGGCGAAAGGTCTCGGACCCGAGGAGCTCGTACAGGTACTCCGTGCACCACTGCATCCAGTCTGAGCGGTTGTCGATCGCGTGGTCATTGAGCAGGATGTCGGGAAGCCAATGGGCGGCCCATGCGCGAGTTCGGTCGGCCAGACGTTCTTGAACGATTTCGGCATTTCGGCGAGGCCGGCTGAGCGGCTCCCTGGTGAGCGACTTCGCAGGGTCAAGGGACGGGGACCAGGACAGGAGACGCCGCTTTATGGTGTCTGCCATCGTGTCGGTGTAGAGCTGCTCATTGAGGGACGCCATGTAGGCCTTCTGCGGCGTGATCTGTGTGGTTCGGCGGCGATGCAGTTCTTGTTGCTGCTGTAGGAGGGCCTGCAATCCAGCACGAGCGGCTCGCTTGTGGATGCCAATCATAGCGGCACGGGCGCGAGGAAGGGGGCCAGCTGTGCGTGTCAGCCTCTTTAAGTGGGAGCCCGTTGCAGTCGGGGAAGAAGGTAGAGTTGGTGATATGCTCGAACCGTTGGGCGATGGAAGACTTGATGGACCAGCACTCGCTGCACCAGTGGCCGCGCTGCACTGTGACGAGGGGGAGCTGCTCGTACGCGGTGTCGCAGAGCGCGTTGAATGCGCCGCGCCAATCTGCCACCGTGGAGGTGGCTGTGCGCCACATGGTGGCCGCCAGGTAGTTCTCGATGCCAATGGGGACCTCAGCCTTGGTCCAGAGAGACATCGCGAGGATGTCGGACTTCGCGAAGCTGGACGGGGCAACGCGCAGCAACTTGTGGAACGCCTGCAGCTCCTTCTGGAGGATGCCTGCCGAGGGTTCGAATAGCTGACCTACGTATCCAAGGACCGTGACGGCAGCGACGTTGTACAGCTTGATGCTCTGCTGGATAGGGGCGCGGGACGCGGCGAGCTTCTCGATGCGGTCCCACCACTTGGCAGCAGGGCCTCGCCATTGGTCGTCAAGAGAGGCGCCAGGGCCGATGAAGAAGCCGAGGTATCTGGCGCTGGACTCAACCTTGAAGGCGGCCCAGGGAGCGTGGACGGCAGCAAGTACTTGGCGTATCTCCGCAATGATGTCCTGAGTGGGCAACGTCCAGGTCGGGACCACGATGCATTTCTTGGCCTGGAGACACAGGCCCGCGAGAGTCTCCACCGCGATGATGTGCGGCGCGAGCTTGCTGATGTCCGCTAGCCTCGCGAGGATGATGCCGAGGTCGTCAGCACATGCGCTAACCAGACCGCGCTCGATGGCTGAGAGCTCGCTGGTGAGGGCTCTGATGACTGGGTCAAAGACGAGTGCCCAGATCGCACCGCTTAACGGACAGCCCTGAGCAACTCCTGACGCTGCGATCAAGAGGGGGCGGCGTGCACCGCCCAGGTCCAGGTAGGAGACAGGCCAGTGGTAGCAAGCTTGAAGCAGGTGAAGCATGTGTCCCTGGATGCCCCACCGCTGGAGAACATTCCACATCCAGTGGTGGCCGAGGCTGGGGAAGGCGGCCGCGATGTCCATGCTGACGAAGACGGGCTTGTCGGTAGCTGCATTAGGTGAAAGACTATGACGTCGAGCAGCGGCATCCACCA